TCAGGACCTTGCACTTGTTAGGCAGGCACTTACGCCACTGAACTATATCCCCAGCCCCCCAAAAAACAGTTTTCAAAAAGCGCCAATCCTTCCCCAGGGATCTCTGGTCGCTGTGCCGGGTCTGACTTTGTTTCCCCGCAGGCCGGAGGAAGCCGCGGCTCTTTGAGTACCTGCACGAGTCGCTGTGCGACCCCGAGATGGCCTCCTGCATCCAGTGGGTGGACCCCGCCCGCGGCGTCTTTCAGTTCGTGTCCAAGAACAAGGAGCGGCTGGCCGAGCTGTGGGGCCGCAGGAAGGGCAACCGCAAGCCCATGACCTACCAGAAGATGGCGCGGGCGCTGCGCAACTACGGCCGCACCGGGGAGGTGACCAAGGTCCGCAGGAAGCTCACCTACCAGTTCAGCGAGGCCACCCTGCAGCGCCTGGCGCCCGGCCGCCCGCTGGCCAAGGAGCGCCTGCCCGGCCTGGCCGCCCAGCCCCCGCCCGAGCACCCGGCCCTCGCCAGCTGGAGCCACACGTGCACCGGCCACCTCCTCGGCGCGGGCCACGCGGCCTACCAGGACGGGCTCTCGGTCCTGCCTCGGGGCTGGCTGAGCCACTGAGCTGCTCCGAGGAGCTGGAGCTTGCGACCTTCCCGCCTCGGCCTCCCACCTGCCTGGCTAGAGCTTTCTCTAGAAGTAAAAGCAAAATAAGAGGAATTCCACATCCACCGGGCCCATGTCCCAAGTCGCCTAACCAGAGGTCTCCACCAGGCTGAGTGCCAGGCCAGGGACGCCCGACCTTAATTAATGCAGCTGTGTATCCGCAGCTGACCACCGCTGGCCTCATCTGGCACAGGGGGACCCTGGCTCGTTCCCAAAGTTGACACAGCAGCCATGAAAGGGAAATAGTTTGAATCAATTCTGGACATTAAGGTACGACAGGGCAATAAGAGGAGCCAGACAGGTGTACCCACCTGACACCTGTGACCTCAGCACTCGGGAGGCTGAGGCAGGAGGATTGCTGGAAGCTCAAAGCCTGCATGGACTGTGTAGGGAGCACTGTTTCAAAAAAAAGTTAAAGACCTTATGTCACAGTGACACTTGCCTACGTGTGTGTGTGTATGGAGCACGTAGCCCGTAACAGCTAGGTCTTAGAACTAGCCTATATGTCCATCAGTGGATGAGTGGACAAAAAAAGTGTAACATTTTTTAAAATGTGTAGTCTTTTTTTAATGTGCAGTATTTGCACAGTGGGGGCCTCCTCTGCCAGGCAGGATGAACCTGAGCTGTGTGGGGGTACTGACACTGACAGGAAGAGAAATAAACGAGACCCAAGCCTTCGAATCACGTGGTTTCCGTTCTAAGGACAAACGAAACGAGGAATATAAGAGGCAATTGGAGGGCCGGGGAGATGGCTCAGTAGAATAAGCACTTTCCTGGCAAGTGCAAGGGTCTGAGTTAAATCTCTGGTTCCACCAAGAAAAGAAAGAAAGAAAGAAAGAAAGAAAGAAAGAAAGAAAGAAAGAAAGAAAGAAAGAAAGAAAGAAAAAAAGAGATTAGCACAAGCGAGGGGACTGTGTGGGGGTGGGGAAGGGTCTAGAAAGATGAGATGCTCTGAGTGGATCAGCTCCTCCTGACGGAGTCACATGTACTGAACAGCACCTAAAAGACAAGTTAAAAACAACGTGGTGTAGATCCACAATGTCTTTTGCAGGAAAAGGAGTGGATCTGGACACCATAATGCTGAGTGAAATAAGTCAAACGCGAAAAAGACAAATTTTCTTTTTTTGAGTTTTGTTTTTCTATGACAGGATCTCATTAGGTAGTGCAAGCCGGCCTAGAACCTGTGACGATCCTCCTGCCTCAGCCTCCCACGGTGTGGCACAATAGGTGTGTGTCACCACAGCTGGTGTTCACCTGTTTTTAAATAAGGATGCTTATTTTCTTGTTATTGAGTACTCTGAGCACCTTGAATATTTTGGCTATTAGGTCTTCGTAGGAGTCACGATTTCCCAGTGTTCCGAGCGAGGGTGTGGGTTGTCTTTCCTGTGAAGGGTTTCTTCTTTGATATAATCCCATTTACCTCTGCTTCTGTGTGGCTCTCTTCCCCAGAGCTCTCTGCCTGGGGCTGGGGTCGGTTATTCTCCCTGTGTTTTCCTGCTGGTGTTAAAAGTTCAGCCTCAGGTTGTAATCTTTGCCCTTGAGCCGATTCTTGTCTAAGCAGTGAGCCAAGGGCTCCCTTTTCGTTGTTCATTAGGCTGGATATCCAATTTCCTTGTATTTCTGGAAGAGACTCCTTTCCTATTGTGTGCTTTTGGCACTCTTATCAAAAATACTGGTCTTAGAGCCCTTTTGCATGCCTGTAATCCCAGCTCCCAGGAGGCAGTAGCAGGAGGATCACGCCAAGTTCCAGGTCAGCCTGGACTGCACTGGAGACCCTGGCTCAAAAAAAAACAAAAAAACAATAGAGGGCCAAGGAGATAGCTCAGTAGAATAAGTGCTTGCCTGGCATGCACAAGTTCCTGAGTTCAATCCCCGGTACAGCAACGAAACTGAACCAAACCAGACCAACAGAAACAACACAATGCACAACCAGGAGACCCGGCGGGTGGGGGCAGAGGAACGGAGGTGCGGTCTCAGCACCAGAGTTTGAAGGAACCGGTGCCGATGTGTATTGCTAGCATGGTGACCCAGTAACTTGTACTCTTCAGAATAGCTAGAACAGCGTTTCAAGTGTCCTCGCTCCTGAGAAATAGTTATTCTTGGGGGTGGGGGTGCAGTGGTCACGGTGCAGCCCACCGGCCTCAACCTGGACAGTGGTGCCTGCAGTCCCAGGAGGACCCCGACTCCTGAGGGGACGCCAGTGGAGCCCCAGCTTCTGTCATTCTGCACTGCCTGGGTCTGTCACCTGCAGAGTAGGCCATGCCCCTTAGCTGGACACCTTTCTTTTATGCTAGGACTCAGCCACTGGGAGGTGCTGTCGCCCCAACTTTAAACAAGGTCGCTCTGCCTTTCGAGGGCTCAGCAGAGCAGGCCTTAGGATACTTGGAGGGGAAAAGTACAGATAAGGCCTAAAGCTAGCTAAGTAGGTGGCACCCGCTCAGCACTCGATGCTGAGGCGGGAGGATCGCCCACGTTCAAGGCCAGCTTGAACTGCATAGCCAGACCCTGTCTCAGAAAGACAGAATAAAGACAGAGAGCTGGATTCAGCATTCACAGCTGCCCTTCCATAAAGTAAAAAGGCTTCACAAAGCATTCTTAAGAAATGTGCTGCCCCCTGGGAGGCTGAGGCAGGACTTACCCACCAGAGGGTGAAGCAGAGCACCTGTCACCTTCTAAGCCCAAGAGCCTGACTTCTGGTCCTCCTGGGACGTAAGCACGGTGCTCCAGGTGAGGCAGGAGGATCACCAGTGCAAGCCCCACCTGGGTCACTACCAAGGTCTGTCTCAAAATACAAAATTTGCCCCGCAGTGAGAGTCCTGGGCTTCCCTCTCAGCACAGCAAATAAACAAGGTTAGAAGGGAATCGGCAACAACGGCCCCAGCTGGCCCCAGATGGTCGTCAGAGGGCTGCAGGCCACAGGCCCTGAGCTCCCACCCTGCTGCTGCCTGGATGGCACTGTCCATCACCCGAGGTCACACTTCTGCCACCAGGAAGGACCCGGCGTTGCTGGCCCCTGTCCTCTGGCCTGTGCCACCATGCCTCTGTTCCAGCCCTCCCATCTGGGGGTAGAACAGTGGAACCCCTGCCCAGGGCAGGGACTGGGAGAGCCCAACTTCACCCTCCACCTCGGCTCTGGAAGGCAGCATCCCAGGACGCAGCTTCTCTGCCCAGGATATGATTTCTCAGCCCACATAGTAAGCTTTAAATAGGTTTTCCCTTTATTACTTTATTTTTTTTAATTTTATTTATTTGTGTGTGTGTGTGTGTGTGTGTGTGTGTGTGGCCAGCTCAGCCCACCAGGGGGCGGGGCTGGTTGGCATGTGGTGCTGGGGGATTGAACCGTGGTCCCTGTGCTTTGTTAAGCTTGTTCTAAGTAGGTGCTTTAGACCACTGAGCCATCTCACCAGCCCTCCCTTTATTACTTTATAAGTGAAATCCTGATTTCATTATTTTTTGAAGTTTTTGTTTTCAGGCAGGATCACACTATATAGTCCAGGCTGGCCTGTAACTTGCAGGGATCCTCCTGCCTCAGCCTCCTGAGTACTGGGATTACAGGCGGGCATCAGTACACCAGGCAGGTCTGTGGTTACTGACCCCGAGTTAGCTAAATTCAAATGCTGAAGTCCATCTCAAGATGGCAGTGAGCAGGATCGCTGTAAATCACTAAATTCCCTCTCTAGAGGGCAGGGAAGACAGCTGGGGGTAGAGGGCATGGCCAGCAGGCCTGAGGCGGGTTCACCCTTGCCCCTGGGCAGCATCCCTGGCTCAGCCTTCCGGTGTAGCTGTGTAGCTGCTCTGCAGTGAGCTCTGGGCCTGGGGCCTCCTCTGGATCGCGGCTCTTGAGCTGCAAGGCGCGCAGGCCCCCTGCTCTCTTCCAGCCCTGACCAGCCACCTAACGCCTGCCTTGTAAATCATAAGCACGCGGGGTCCACCTGTTCTCTGAGGAGTCTGCACCAGCGCAGGCCACACACTCAGCCACACGCGACCCTCCTTCCCGGGCCCACCCCCTTTGTGCTGTGCACCCGTTTCTCTGTGCTCTTGCCAGGTGCCTCCCCTCTTGTCCGCTCCCTCAGCCTCTCCTTTCAGGGTCGTCTTAATATAGGGACGTGAAATTCCCAACCTGGCCTGAATGAGTTCGTGTTCTCTAAAACCGAAGAATGAATTTTAGGAACAAAAGGAGGCTGAAGGTAAAACTTTATTGGAAAGGAAAGCTTCTGTCGGAGAGGGACAGAAGGGGGTCCCAAGTGGGTTGCCCAGGAAGCTGTGTGCTTCAGATTATTTTACAGGACAAAACCATGCGGGGCTAAGGTAGATACAAAGGGGTCCTGCTTAGGCAGATACAGGGTGGAACAAAACTATGGTCAACCAATGGGTTTACAAACACCATTGCCCAGGTAAAATTTATTAGGCCTAGGACAAAATGGGGTAACGAGTCACATAGCAAGTGGGCGACCTTATCTGGTGGCCTTCAGTCAATGATTCTTCCTGACTAATGAGCAATCCTGGATGCCAACTTTAGGGAGGTTAGCATTTGTTTGATCTTTAGGTCTGGCTTACACCAGGAGCATCACCCCAGTAAGGTGTCTGGTCTTTGTCATCCCCTCCGAGGGCCTGCCCCTGTCTAACTACCTACAATATTTCTATCTAACTCAGGCTGCCTGCAACAGTCTCACCCGGCCTTCCACAAGGGCAATGCAGAGTTGCCGCAGGGAGACAGTTTATTTATTTATTGTTTTTGCACTACTGAGAATCAAATTGGGACCTTGCGTTTGCAAAGTGCTTACGCCACTGAGCTATCTTGCCAGCCCCTGAGACATAGTTTACTTTTTTTTTTTTTAGCGGAACCAGGACTGAACTCAGGCCCTTGCGCTTACCAGAGAAGCGCTTATTCTACTGAGCCATCCTCCCTGGCCGCGAGACACAGTTTAAGTAACGTGCCTACCTTCGTTCAAGTGAGT